GGCAGTAGGACTAATAGTAGAATGTCTTACCTAAGAAGGCCCAAGTAGTAGGACTTATCCAGAATCTGTCTCTGAGGTCCTTTTGGGGATGGAAGATGGTAGTGGAGAGAAAGACAAAGGAGTTACACTTGTAATGATGTAATGTCATGTTTTAAGAAGGGCTCAACGTGTCTGCCCTAACATGAACCATAAAATATAACTATATCCATGTGAAAGGAGTGAGCTGATGTCACTTCAAACTTACCTTTCATGCCAGTCTTCATCCCACTGAGCCCCTGTTGGGTCACAGGCCTTTCAGTCACTTTGATCTGTGCTGACAGGACTCCAGGGGTGGCGATGGGGATGCCGCCCCTCATTCCAGGATGACCACTTGTACCTGGAACCATCTGGATTGAAAATGAAAGAATAAAACTTTTTAGGACTGGTTTCTACTAAATCATCTGTAGATGCAGTTACCGGTGTGGCGATGGCGCAGACACATGCCTTTGGTGTGAGAGACCCATGTTCAATTCCCACTGCGACACAGCAATGCGACCCTGAGCGAGACACCTAACCCCTAGTTGCTCCAGAGGCGTGCAACCTCTGACATATATAGCAATTGTTGTTGATAAAAGCGTCAGCTAAATATATAAATGTACCAACACTGCAACATCTGATATGCTGATTGTGTAATGAAACAAAAATAAAATATAAAAAAAGGTAATCAGAGGCTAAGGCACTGAGAAAGGGTTACATCTGGACTTTTGTTATTCAAGTTGATATGCTGACTTACCCCAGTTGCAACACGTAAAGCTGTAGGAGGAGGTCGGATGGCCGTTGGGGGTCTTCCAGCAACAGGGACCACAGATCCACTGCGACTAACTGGGCGGCCCATGCTGGAGGGAGGGCGCTGGCTTGTCATGATGCCTAAAAGCAGTGGACATATTAATAATAACAATAATAAGTAAATCATGAAAACATTTCATACAGCATAGGGTGCTGCTATAGCTCAGTTCTTGTTAATGATTGCTTGGTGACAGCAGCCAAAAGGACAGTGTGACTGGACAATGACTTGTTTGAAACCTGAAGCAGACACGTTCAAGCCAGAGCACTGTATATTTTCCATCCCTCCCTACTCTGCCCACACACGATTAGCTTTTAACTGGCTGAACACACCTCACATTTGACATCTGTCAAATACGGTCTGAGTAAAGGAGGAAAATATGGAAAATGTAGAGCTGGGCCTCTAAATAATTAAGTTATATGCACCAAATATAACGTTATGTGATCATAATCAGTCACACAACAATTATACTTGCACCAATGATGCCAATTCAGATAAGTTAACTAACTTATAAGATAACGTTAGTTCTTTGCTGTAGTCTATCACGTGATCATGTACAATAACGTTAACGATACTCGTTATCTGTGTTTGGAAAACGTTGTTTTTCTGTTAAGGAAAGCATACCAAAGAGTTAGCTATGTGCTGCTGCTCTGTAGCATAAAGCACAGATTATTAAAGGATAACGCTTAAAGCCAAGATGCCCCTTGGAAGAATCCCTGATAGCCTGTAACGTTAACTGAAAACATTTGACGTATCTCGGCGCAGGTAAGGTAACTTAAGTTAGCTGCCAAAATGTATGCTAACATTATGTTGGTCAGTTAACTACCGACCGACGGCATTAACGTTACTTTGTACGACACAGTTAACGTTAAAGTTATTTGTTAGAAATATTTTAACTTGCGGTTAATTTGCAAGTTAACTTAGCACCGTTAGCTTATCTTCTTCTTACACGGGTCAGCATGAATAAGCTAACGTTAGCAAGTGTTTCGTACCTTAAACTGAACTCCTTGGTCGTTTTCGTCGACAGTACAACGTTAATTCTCTTAAATTTCTAACCCAATTTTGGTTAGCTAATTTACAGGAGGGGGAAATGTCAACTAAAAGGTAAAACGCTAGCTAGCTATAAGAAAGTCAGCAACTCGAAATGATGTTGACGTTACCACAGCAACCGTCCCATGAGCCGTCCCCCTCTCCCGAAATTCTTCTTCTTCTTCTTAGCGTTTGTCGGCTTGGTGCATATCGCCACCTAACGTAGCGGAGGCGATAAGCTTTCGTACGACGGCGAAGACATAATCCTCCCTTCTCTGAGGTGGGAAAGCTTTATTCTTACCCTAACCGTACTCTGACTCTTCTTGCCAAGCCTAACCAGCGCCGTTAAATAAGAGGTAATTAAGCTGTCATGGCTCCACAGAAGCTCTTAGACACAACTTTCTATACTGGAAATGTTAAATACTTTGTTTTGACTGAGCTGCCATGTTGTCCAGAAGGCCTTGGAAAAGCATTTCTATTCTGGAATCATTAAAAACTGGAAGAATATGGGGGAGTCTTCTATATTCTCCTATCTCCTAAATCTCCTATATTATGATCATTGTCTATGGAAGATTTTATTGGACTTTAATATTTGTAACCCACAGAAAATAATCTACAAATGTCTACTATGACGGCAAATATTTCCCTATCCACAAATGTGAATTTTTACATTGTGTTGTGTAAAATTTGCGGATCACTTTCTGTGATCCCACAAATTGATTCCCTTTTATGCATTTGGGAATTTTGTCCACTCAGTTCAGTGGAAATCTGTAGAACAAATCTGCAAATATCTCACTACCCACAAACATGTATTTTTACATTTGTGTTGTGTAAAATCACATCCACAAAAAATAGTGCAATTTGCAAATATGCACAATTTACCCTGTACATACGTTTTATTTTCACACAAAAAGTGTTATTTACGCATTTATGGATCTGTTTCTACACATAAAACAATTTTTGCAATTTGTGGGTCACCTTACATTTGTGACTTCCTTTTTACGCATTTGTGGACTTGTCCTTTGTGTAGCCTGAGCACTGAGATCTGTAAAAAGAGATCTGTAAGTGTGAGAGAAGTTTACTAGCTATGATAGATATGAAGAGTGTAAAGAAACATTAACGGCCAACAAAGCCAGGTTAGGATTGTTGGCAGCGCATTATATATATATAAATTTGTAATCATCTTAACAGTGTTCTCGTTGTAATTCTCTATTTAGTATTTTATGGACTCTTCTTTTGTGTGTATTTTGATTAAAATTTAAGGTTACAACTGCATAGTGGGCCCATTGTAATAAAAAAAGAGGGGGCAAGGGGAGAGGGGTAATAATCCTTGAAAAAAGTCATTTTTCATTTACAGGGGCAATTCTCTGACATTATAGTCATACATTTATGAGAAAAACTCTACTCTTCCATGAATTGGGCGTATTCAGAAGAAAACACCACAGTAATCTGGATTTTTTGTGACTTTGCCATGACAGCATACCTCAGGAAAAACCTATCCACCTCTTGTAGTACAGGTTAAAAGTAACTCCTGAAGTTACTTGGATAAGGCAGTTCATTTGCTTCATAGTGCAGGCCACAGGTTGCCATAGAAGAAACACTGTGCATTTGTGACATTAAAATCATGTATTTTATCCTGAAACAAGTTTGCACTGTAACATCAAAGGTAGTTTGGCTCACTAACCTTCAGAACTGGTTCTCTCCAAGGGCCACCTTTTGTATAACATCTATATCAACGAATGCAAAGCCAACGATAGCTCCACTTCTGTCATCTGATTTGCAGATGACACAGAGGTGGTAGGCCTGATCACTACCAACAACACACAGGCCTACATTAACCCGATAGAGGACCTGGCAACCCAGGAACCTGACCTTAACAGCAAGTCGGCAAGACAAAGAAACACCCACACCCAGCACATTCAAAAAATCCAGACAAAGGCTCCTATTCCTCTGACAGCTGTGAAAACTCAAGGTCTCATCCTCCATGCAGCATCACCGCCAGCTGAACGCACCACCAGGACACCTTTTCCCACCCTGCAGCAAACATACACTGCTTCTCATTTCCCTTATTTGTCGTTTCCTCACCCCTCACTTGAACTGGAAGTGATTCCGCTCCGCCATCTTGATAAATCCCAACATCACTGTTTTTTCATACCAGAGTGAAGACAGATCACACCCAAGTGTATAACTGCCAAGTTTTACACTTTACGTTTTATGATTCACTGTCTAGCCTAGTTAAAAAGTCTGAACAACAAAAGGACTACAGACAACATTATACATTTATAAAAACAGATTTACCTTTCTCCATTAACTTTTATTATGGAGATAAAGTCAGAGTCTGTCAGCAAGAAACACTTTTTACATCATTTATTGTCATTTCCATCAGGCCTTCCTACACTTTGAGAAAGTGTTGGTAGCCTATTTGAAACCCTGGCATGATAACGGGCACAGTTTAGTTACAGAATGCAGGGTGTTCTTCACATGCAGGGGTTTGTTAAACAGGTAACAGCTACAGAGAGAAAACATGCTGCTCAGTGATAATTGTGAGACTTTGTTAGTATCAGCACCGCATGTGTGCAGACACAAACTCCATCAAAAGTCTCTCCAGCTGTTAGAGCCGACTGAAAGCTGATCCAGCTGTGATCAGCTGCCGCTGTCATCAGAAACTGACATCACTTCATGTGATGCTTTGGAGGAAAGGACATCTCTTTTAACATTTTTCCTTGTTCCTTCTCTCCTCGCATGAAAAAGACGCAAGTAACGGAAATGTGGATGCAATTAAGAGAATTGAGAAGCACCCCAGGAGTTTAGTTTGTCAAGATATACTGTTGTTTTGACATCAGCTATAGTAGCAGGATAGTTGTGAGTATCACTTTTTGGAGCTTGTGTGCTCGTTCTGATTAACAGTCTCGCCCTTCCTGTATGTTAGCTTTGAAGCAGCATCAACAGTTTCCTAAATAACTTCTCTAGCGCTTCTGTTATTGTTTGCGCTATATCATGGCATTTGTAAAGGTTTTGGACTTCGCTGACCCATAAGGTTCTATTTTAAAAATAGTAGTGGAGTTAGCGCTGCCCAATGTAAAATCAGCCCACTGAAAACACCTGTGTGGTCCTTTGATATTTCAAACAAAAGAAAGTTAAACACATGAGAATTTTAGTCCATTTTATTTCATGTTCAACAATCACATCACTAATTAACAAGTAATCACAATTAACACTTTATTTTCAAACCAAAAAATAAAATTCAAATGAATGGAAAAGATAAAATAACAAAAAAACAAGGAGGTTCTTTAAACTATATAAGTCGCCCAGTTAACACACCTCATTGTTTTTCATCATGCTTTGCAGGTACAGTATGTGTTTATTAGCTAGTGTCGCTCTTGTATGTCTGGTATGCATGCCATGGCTGTAGATGAAGCTCTACAATGTTCCTTGGATATATTACTGATGAGCATTTATTACACAAACCTCAAAACTAAACTTAACCTTCTTAACCTAGACAAAGATATGTTAGGGATATGTGATTTTTTCAGGACTGCTGTTTTTGAGTGCCATAGGTAGCAGCCAATATTTTGATATGCAGTAAACAAATTCATAGGCCGATACATTGACCTTTACACTTAGTGCTTGCTTGGACAAGAAATTCCCTGTGCCCACTGTGATGTAAATTGTCGTGATTCAAGTGCATTAGCTTTAGTCCCATTCAGCTTTGTTCTTTAATCATGTAAACCTGCAGAGGTCACTGTGTCCTGAACGATAAATTTACCAGCTAGTCAGAACATTCTTCATCTATAGACTGCTTGCGGCATGAACTGTGTGTAAGCATTATTGTGCACTACAAAATAAAAAATAAAAAATCAAGCTTTATGTTGCCAGATCGACATTTCTTAATAAAGCTGCTGTTAGAGTGCTTAAATAAAATCTATCTAAGTAAATTTTACTTAAGCACTAACAGCAGCTTGACTATAAGTGTTGTATTGGGTTCAGATCTTGTTGTGCACACCCTTGGACACAGTTTGTGAAACTGGCTGGTCACAAATCAAAAGTATAATCCCTTTAATCAGGTAAGCAGACCCACCGTGAGGCTACAGGAACACAACGATAAATACATATACAAAAGTGTTGCGTCTTTAGTACAATATATCTCATAAGATTTTCTTTCACTTCAGTGGCCCCTTTCTAATGAAAAAGGCAGACCTTTTCAATTTGTCAGACTAATAATCAGAATAATAGTCATGATAAAACACTTTCTCCCCTTAGAACCATGAAGGTACATGGACATAAAAACGGTATTGAACAATCCATAAACCCCCCCACCCACCAAACCCCCCTGATGCTATACTGTCTTTTTTTAGGGCCAAAAAGAGTGCATCAACAACAAAATATCTATATACATCCGTGTGCAATTTCATAGGTAATGGTAAGTAAAAACTCTGGGGTAAAAGCAAAGCTAAAACCTGGTTGTGGATAGGCACCAGGACAAATTTAACTAGGCAGCAGCCGTGGCACAAACAAAGCAAGTGACCTATTTGATTCCGTCACTCAATGCTCAACTGGCAAACAAGCATTCAAACATCTGCATTTGGAACATTCCCACTTTTAGAAGACATTAATTAATATTGCCCGTTTCTGTCCAAAAAATTGACATTTTGTAAAAGCCTTAATTTTCTTATATAAAGAAAAAAAAAAAAAGATTTTATGAAGGGTTTCCACTGTAAAGCAAAATAATTACAAATTCTGAGTTGAACTGCGTTTTATGATTGAAAAGTAGAGGAAAAATGAGGCCACTGTAATTAAGTTTATTGCTCTATTCATGTCATCATGCAAAAGGTCATTCATAATTAAGTCATTTATGATCACTTGTTCAGAGACGGGTGATGGTTAATTAAATACAACCACTCCATCACGGTGAGCCCTCTTTGATATATTAAAGCAATAAGGTGCAATTTAGTTCTGTCAAGGCTTCTTTACAAATGATTACTATTACAATTTGAATAGAAAAACTCAGGAGTGTTTTTGTAGTTTGATGTCGGAGCAGTCAATGGAGCTTTGGGCTTTAAATTTAAAAATGAAGACCTGAAAATCAACAAAATCTGCCAAGGTATGTGCCATAATCCTGCTTGATTTTTGTTGAATTTTCTTTATTGGCAATCTTTACTAAAATTAAACAAAAGTGTAACGCAAACACAATCAAAACTGGAAGTCATATATACTGTATGCTATCATTTGCACTGGTGACTGAACTTTATTGGGATCAACCGAAATGTGTCCATAGCGTCGACAAGTTAAAACAACGGTTGGGATCAAATGTTTGGTGAGATTCATGATCTTCTTTGATGTTATTCGATAGCCTGATTTTTATTAAGTAAATAATAGTCATACTGGTTTAAATAAAGAACTTGATATTAGCCTATTTCCCATCTTTGCTGAGCAAGAGTTTTGTGAGAAAGGAATTAAAGGCCGGTCCCAAATAGAGGTAGGGTGAGTCCAGTGATTAAAGCAAATAAAAGATCGGCCTATTAATTGATGTTTTACGGTAACAACATATCAACTTTGTAGGATTGCCCCAGAGATACACATATGGTAAAACTACAACACTTTGAGTCATACTGCACATAGGCTTTCAGCCCTGGGCATGATATAAAATGATCTGCCAATGCATTATAAAGGCAATAATTGAATACATTGTTACAAAAGAAGAAGATAAAGCCACATCATGTTCCACTGCCATTACTTCAACAAGAAAGTGCCCTACACATGTTAACTATGTTTTTGTATTCAGTCGAACCTTTCTCAACTGCCCAACAACATGCTACCATAACCCTCACAGCAATGTTCTATGTCCATTCAGTTAACTATGATATTTTCTTTCTCTGAGCAGTTTTTGGCTTGAGCCTGCATCGTCCACATTTATTGCAATATTCAGGTAAGAAGGACAGGAGGCACATATGAGACACACAGCTCCTTTGACTTCAGAGACGTTTGCTATCTGCGACATTTAGACATCTTCCTCATCTCCCTCTGGACTGCAGGCTCAGCTTCTCTAGTTTAGCAAACTCCCTCTATTGCCTTTCAAACACTTTTCAACATGTCTTTCACTTTTTGTCATAAACATATCCATTTTCAGCCTTGGCAGCACTTACTTTCTTCCTCCCTCTGAATATCATTTCCTTCACTGTGTGTCTTGGTAATCTGTGCGTGTTTCCAAGAGTTATCTGAGTGCTACTGGGAAAAACGACCACCCACTGAATTGCTTGTACAGGAAGACAAATACAATAAATAAATAAAACATTGTTTTAAAATATAGAAACTAGGAAGAAAGAAAGAAAACGAGAAAAACAGAAGATCCGAACAGAACACGAAAGCAAAATTTTTAACATCTTTGTCACTCAAACACATCATCACGAACACAGAGAATACAGACTTAAACAGCCTAAAATGCTTCAAACAGCCTACTTGTTGTCTAGCTTTTTTTGTCAGCTTGTTTATCGTAAGTGATATTAAGGAGAGAAGAAGCGATGAAGCAGATGAGATGGATAATGAATTACCATGATGTTATTGAAGAAGAGAGTAAGTGGTTATTGGGAACAGCCTCAAAGGTCACAAGGAAAAGAGACGATATGTGTATGATAGTCATAGGTGAGTCCGAGAGGATTTCTGTGCTGCTCAGTTGACATATGAATTGCACGCTGCTGTTATTTGGTGTGTGGAGGTGAGGGTCGGAGTCCACCACCAGGCTGTGGGTAAAGAGGATCCATGTAATTGATTCCAGGTCAGCCAACTTTGAGAAGACACAACCAAATATGTGAGAAAAGCCCCTCATTTTCCTCCACGCAGATTCCTACCAAGGCCCAAGCTTAGTCTACAGTCACTTCAGCCAAAAATAGGAAGGTAGGGATGGCAATGATGGCGCATGATGATGAGCTCAGATGTGAGAGAAGAAGCATGATAACATTAAGTTTTGATACTAGAGTGGTAGAACTGTTGGATGATTAAAACATTTGTAACGACAGATTTAAGATAAATGGGGTTTTCGGAGGGGCAGAGGATCTGACACAGCTCGCAGAAGCCAATGATTCAACGAGGGAGACACCACGAGGAGTCCGGTTTTGGTTCTGGTGTAGAGAAAAGAAGGAACCGAGTGGGTGGGAACTGTTGATGTCCTTGTGGGGGGGGGGGGGGGGGGGGGGCTGGCCAGGGGATGATGTCAGCGCCGTGGTCCGTGCGAAAGCGAGCGTTCCAGAGGAAGTTGAGCTCGAAACACTCAATCTGCAGCAGAAAGGTTGGAAAGAAAAGGGCAGAAAAGACAGGGAAGAAGAAAGTTAGATAGGAAAAGGTGGGGCAGGGGAGGAGGTGATGTTGTCAGGGATTGAGATGAGGAGGGCAGAGGGACAGCAGAATTAGATGCCTGCAAGATAAGAAGTCAAAAGATGATGGTTTGATCAGGTGCTTTGGACTGCAGACAACCTGAATACAGCACAAACAGAGATACAGATTTACACTAAGTCACAAATACTTTATGATGAACAATTTGAAATTAGTTAAGGAAAAACTTCCACACCGTTAGTACATTGTAATACAGTATGCTATGTTTCAGATGTTTCCTGGCAACAGGATACTGTTACCCTTGCATTTCCTCCCTCCGTGTTTGCTACATGGGAATCAAACCCTTCACTTACAGCAGATGAACCACACACACAAACATACTTGTCTCTGGGATGAGTGAGTCCAGAGCTTGGGGCTCCTGGAGGCCTTCACTACCACAGGTAGCCCCCTGCTTCAGCCCATTCTCCTGGGCAGCAGGGCCCTCTGCCAGTCCTGGCTCGGAGCCTGGGGCTGAGGCTGTGGTGCCACTCAAAGGAGTCCCGTTCCCCTCCGTTGTCTCCTGGGCCTCCTCAGCCTAGAAATAAATAGCGAGGGTCAATTGCTAAAACGAAGCCTTCAACAATGTGCAGTATGACAAAAAAATATATGGTGTTTTTTTTTTTTATTAAACCATGTAAACCTGTTCTGGTACAACCCCTAAATAGGATTTTGAACCTGAAAATTTGCATCATACCTTCTCTTTAAGGAAATCTAAGGGACTTCACTAAGGTAAAGCCCTCAATCATCATTGTATGTTTTACTCCAGGGCCATCTAGGACCTTGGCACTCTGGGTAAACTCCCATCATATATTTGCCCCTTGATTACACAAAGATCAGACTCTAGCCATTACTTGAGACCACAAGATGTGGTCTTGTTGTCTGTTCCTGGTGTATGGATGGACCTGGGAGAGAAAGCTTTCATGTAATGTGTAACATTAGGAAATAAAGTCTTGCTAGCAGTTCTCCATGTACAACAACAAACTCCTCTCCCAGACTTCAGTTTCTTTTAGAAATAAATGGTGTCACATGAAGTCTCTTGTAGGGATCCTTTCTGTGATGTTGCATGATGTTGTATAACAGTCTGAGATTGTCAGTGGCAAAAGAAGCACTTTTTGAAGGCGTAATTTTGTCGGGTGCAATTGCTCTGAAGGAATACGTTGCAGCCACTGCAGGCTGAAGCCATCGACTTCACGGATTCTAGAACGTCTTGTAGCTACTAGTCATTTAGAAACCAAAATGTGTAAAAATAGGGCCCAGGTTTAAAAATACTACATAATATTAAATTACCCTTTAAAACTCTAGGATCCCAGAGTTAAATCTGATCTCTCATTCAGGGAAATTGGTCATACGCTTACAAAAACTGTTCACAGCAACATACAATATGGGTCTACTCATACAAAAGAAGTATTGTATGAGTAGACCCATATTCAGAAAATATTTGTGAGTAGATGTGCAGTTGTACATGTTTTATATTCACATGAGGGCGTTTCAGCTGGACACATTGGCTCAATAGTATTTTATGCATATAATAAAGAAAGTGAATCACACAATGCACATTTTGTTTTCATCATGACCTGGACCACTATCAGTAAACTGCAATTAGTATCAAAACAACTCTCCAAAATCTACACATACTTGTTATGGGAATTTTCATTTGCTAATTTACTGTGAAATCTGATTCATCTTCATTGGCTGACTCATAAAGTAACAGTGTTCACAGACAAAATATTTCGTCATGTGTGATAATCTCACCTTGATGTTTCCTCCACCAGGTGAATGGCTCACATTGTCCACGGAGCCCACTTTGGACTGAGCCTTTTCCCTAAAACTCACCTTGTGGGACTCAATCTTCACGTCACCACCACCTGCAGCACACATGGATAATTAGTCTGATGATCATACACATGCCTGCATTGACACAAGTTACATATTTATGAGCATGTGCAAAATAGATAGATCTTCTACACAGCCTTTTCAGGTCAAGTCAAGAATTAGATAATCTTGTGTTCATATACACTGCTGAAAAACTCAAAAAGAAAGGGACACTTAATCATCACGTTATAACATCATGTCAATTAGACTTCAGGGAAGTCAATCTGCAGGTTCACACTGAGTGCACGGTGAATGTTATGCTGCCAGCATCGTCTTGCAGCATGACCGGTTTGACGGTGGGTCAGTGATGGTCTGGGGAGGCATATCCTTGGAGGGTTGCACGGACCTCCACCTGTTAGCCAACAGTACCCTGACTGCTTAGTTGTCACGAGTGCACACATGCACATGGGGCCCAAACACTCTGAGTTACATTATGAGTTGCCATGATGAAAGTCACACAAGTTGGGTCAGCCTGTGGTTTAAATTTCTCTCAGACGGTTTTTATGTAATTTTGTTTTATTATTATAGAATGTACAGTAAAGATTTTGAACATAAAACAATTTTGTCCATTTGGATCAGATGTGTAAATTAGGTGTTCCCCTAATTTTTTGGAGCAGTATATATTAGTTTAAATGTTGTTGCTGGAGATGAGTGATAATGCAATCCAAATTAATACACTAAATAAAACAAACCTTTCATGCTTACTGTAAACAACAATGGCGACCCAACATTTCCCAACAATTTCTAAGAACCTGTTTGAGTTTGATGCTTAAAATATTCACATGAAAGAAAGTCTGATTTAATAGTTCTGAATTTCAGTGCAACATAATCACAACATAAATGAGGGATTAAGAGGGATTTTTATACATTTAATATGTATATATAATGGATCCAATACATACAGTTGCATATACACTCACTTGCCAATAGTTACACCTAGCTAAAACAAATGCCAGGTAATCCAACAGCCCTGCAGTACATTGCACTGTAGTATACTTGAAAAGTATTTCTAATATTTCCTCTAACCTCACTGATATAAATGGGGTGGACAATGTGAATCAAAACATGATAAGCCCCATGAAGGCAAGATTTATTGCAGGACTGTTGTATTAGACTGGATTCATTTTAGCCAGTATACATGGACATGGCTTTTGAGCATAAGTATTAAATAGTAAAAATAAAAGTGATGGATCAGCTAACACAGTTGGCAATTTTCCAGCTCACCAGGCTTGTGCTTGATGTTGTCCTTCGAGCCACACTTTGACGTCACCTTACTCAGATCCACCTTCTTGCTGAGTATCTGCACCTGTCAAATGTCACAGAGGCCTTTTTATCATGAGTGTTTAAAACATTCTACAGGGTCCCTTGATAGTTTTATTTTTTAAGGTCTATTTCTTGTTCAGACAGTGGTCGTGCATGCAGATGTTGTGACCAGAAGCTCCCCCCAAACTTATACTTTTGTTTTAATTTGTTTTGTTTTTTTAAATTTTATTACTGAAGGACATATTACTTTTGACAGAAATGCACATGGGGATTGGTTTAAGTGCAGTCAACCTTGAACTGATCACGGAATCGCCTGTCACGGCAACTAGATCAGCTGGACCAAACGTCACCACAAGCGGTGTGATCAAACCAAGAAGAGAGGAAAGAGAGCCAGGATAAGCGCTAAGCATCACACACACCTCCATTCTGATGAAGTGCTTCGAGGAACTGGTTCTCTAGCACATAAAAACAACATCCCAGTTAGCCTGAACCTTCAACAGTTCGCATTCAGAACCAAGAGATCCACAGAGGATGCCATCTCCACTGCCCTCCACTCAGCCTTCACACACCTTGAGAAAAACAACACCTTAACATTAGATTGCTGGTTGATTTCAGCTTAGCATCAACACAATCGCCCCTGTGAAACCGAGCACTCTGGGCTTAAGTACCACACTCTGGACTGGATATTGGAGCTCCTTCTCAATTTTAGATTGTTGATTTATGGAAAAGGGAGGCAAAGACATACACCCCGTCTACATCAGTGGAGCTGAGGTGAAGCAGGTGATAGTTTCAAGTTCCTGGGAATCAGCATCACAGAGAACCTGACATGGTCATCTCACAATTTCACACTGGTAAAGAATGCTAAGAAATGGCTGTGTATTTCTTAAGGAAACTTAAGAAGGCAAAATTCTTAACTTCAGCAATAGAAAGCATCCTGATAAGAAACGTCACAAATTTAAATGGTGTTCACAGCCCAGGACAGGGGGGCTCTGCAGCGGGTTATTAAAAAAAACGCTCAGAAGATCATTGGTACCAATCTACCGAGCTTTATAGATCTTGATTTATCGGTGCGGTGAGGTGTCAGAGGCGCAGAGCCCAGAGGATCGTAAAAGACAGTACCCACCCCAGCCACAGCTTGTTCACCCTGCTGCCTTCTGGCAAAAGATCCAGAAGTATCTGTTGCTTTATCACCAGACTACAGAGCAGCTTCTTCCTTCAGACTGTGAAATTCCTCCTAATTTTGTAAAGATGGCAGGATCACCCTGGCACAGACAGGGTAAAAATGCCAGACACCAAAAAGACAGACAGCATCATTTCACGAAACCAGTAATGCCAACTTTATCTCTCTGTGGTACTGTCCTCATAGAACCAGACAACAGAGACAGAGACAGTTAGAGGCCAATGCTGCACATTTGTTTAGTGAGTTAGTGACAGAGCAGTACAATACAGGAAAAGTTTAAGGAAGCTAGGCAGTGTGAAGCGGGTTCTGGGGAAGGGCTGGAACCTCAGGCTTGCTAGCATGCTGTCCAATAATCCCCTCAACCTCCAAAGGTCAAACCAAGAACAGGACTACATATCATTGGCTATGACTACTGTAGCTTGACACCTGTCATATACTGTACAACTTACTCACGCAGGCACTGATAAGGACTGAGGGCTCTTATTTTATTTGATTAGCTTCCGTCTTTAGGAGCGAAAGAGAGACGGAAACTTAAAATGTAATCTTTGCTCAGTTTCCTTCTAGCCATTTCATCAAGTCATATTAGTTTGACTAATTGGCCGATGCATGTGAGCTCTGGTTGTAGACCAGGAAGTACTTACATTCCCTCCACCAGGAACATGCTTCATATTGTCCTTGGAGCCCAAGCGTGAAGTGACGTGGCTGAAGTCCACCTTTTTGGAGACTATCTGAACCTACATGGACACAGCATAGCAGCAATGCAAGTTGGGAGTGGAGAGCAGAGGAGAGCAAGGAAGGGAAGGGGTGACAAAAGAGGAAATGAAGGGAAAGGAGAAGAGATAAGAAAAGTCGAGAATGCAAGATAATATAAGAGGGGAATAGAAAAGATAACAGACGACATGAGGATTAAAACAAAAAGAGGAGAGGAGAAGTCACCAATTACAGGTAGGGTTAGAAAGGAAAGGACAGAAGGAAGGAGCAAGGTTCACCTGGGCAAAATCAAACATGGCTACAAACATCTTAACTATCTAAGGTGCGCTAGATATCAACTGGTGTTTAAATGCTGTTTAACCTATGTATGGACTAAAGTAGAGCAGAAGCTACTGAATGCCACACATAATCTATTTTATAGAGCACACACACACATGCAGCACTACAATAAAAATGTTATTAACACAGATTAACAACTGACTACACCAATATTAGAGTGGCTCTATGTAGTTTTCAGCAGCCACTAGCAGTTTGGTTTTCAGATTTCAACCTGGTGTGCGCTTGTACGCATGCTCGAACTTATGAGCGAGCATAATTTATCACACAGAGACGAAAACACCGCGAGACAGCTTTATACAACATGCTGGAAAGTCATTTAAACTCTCACTGCAAAGTTACAGTAAGTTATCAGCTTGAGGTTAAAGTAATCCATGCTCATTGCTTGAAAACGTTACATTGACTGCATTTAGTTGACGTGACACATCGGCATTTGCTCCCCTGCCTGATTTTCAATCACTACATGTGTATCTTTTATCGCAGGCTCAGCAATGTGAGCACAGCTAAACGTATTGAATGATAACAAAACAGTTAGTGAGCTGGACTGAATATTATAAATGAGATTGTTGCCACACTTTCTACCGTTGTAACGTTACTGTAGTGAATGGCTCTTTCACTGTGTTGTTGTCCTGCGCCGTTATGTTGTTTTATTGTATATTATGTCGGTCACCTAAGTTACAGCAACTGAGAGGTGGAGAAGCTGTGTATCTGAGTATCGGTAAAACAACAAAAAATCTAAATTGAACGTTACGAAGTAAACGGTAGATCTTTGCTAAAGCAGCTGGCTGCTCCTGCCTTGCTTGAAGGAAACTCATAAGCTTTACAACATAACATCCTCAATGTGTTAAGAGTTTTTTGAGATAGTTTTCAAGTAGATATAGCCAACCTGCAAGAAGTGGTTCACCACAGCATAGAGGTAGTCACTTCCTGTTGCCAATAGGTGCTGCTATGACTATGAGTGAATATTAGCTTGAAGATGTGTTCAGGGCGGAACTCTTATCAAACATGTAAAGTTTGGTGAAGATGTGAGCATGTACACTGACGTTACAACAACTTCCTGTTTCATGGTGAATCATCGATTTTGGATGCCAAACGTAAACAATGGGTTTAGACCACACAGCGAAAATTGTAAGTGGATCAGACTAATTCTGTAGGAGGAGTTCATTATAGTACAGAGCATGTAAACTGCCAAAAATGACCAGTAAATCCAAAATGGCCAACTTCCTGTTGGGTTAAGGCAATGGCTCCAAGAGGCTTTTTTGATACATGTGCCGCAGAAATTACGTACATGTAGGTGAAACATGCTGCGGGGGCTGCTTTGACGAAGGTGATTTCCTGTTACCAGTAGGTGGTGCTATGACTATGGGTGGAAATTGGCATGTAGATGTGTTCAGGGCGGGACTGTTATCAAACATGTAAAATTTGGTACAGATTTGAGCATCTACAATCAAGTTACAACAACTTCCTGTGTCATGACGAAGCGTGGAACTTCGCCGCCACACCACTGCCACACTGTTAACTGAAAACTCACACATTTGACAATATGGCTTCATCAATGTGTTAAGGGTTTTCTGGGACAGTTTTAAAGTTGATAAGGCCAAACTGTTAGGAGTAGTACATTACAGCATAAAACATGTCATTTCCTGTTGCCAGCAGGTGGCGCTATGACTTTGAGTGAATCTTGGCATGTGGATGTGTTCATGGCCAGACTGTTATCATACATGTCAATTTGTATGTACACTGAAGTTATAACAACTTCCTGTTTTGTGGATAACCGTTGATTTTTTTAAATTTGAAGTCTGTCACATCAAGTACAAAGTGCGTAAATCGCCAAAAATGAAACAAAAAAAATAAACTCCTTCAGTTCCAATAGGGTCCTTGTACGTTTCATGCTCGGGCCCTACATATATTTCATATGTTAGCAGAAATGTTTAATTGTCCAGTAGGATGAAAGCCAACTCTGTGTCAGTTTTGTCAGTTTCAAAACAAAGTGGCGGTCTCTCCGTGACTCAAGCCTTTTTGATGTTGACTGTGTTTTCACGCAAGGTCGATCTGATTCTCATTTGTCTTGACAGGCTCCAGCACATCAAACTTTGTTGGTTTTTATCTTTACATGGAGTCTGTGTTGTGCTGGGAGCTGAGATTACATTTAGATTAGATTACAGCTCCTTCACACACAGCACACACGGCAATTAAAAAGTGATTCATTTCATTAAAAAAATACCCCCTTTGATACTATAGTTACATGTCAAGTTAGACTGCTAGATCTTACAAACCAAATCTGGCACAGAAAACATAATGGATCCAAGTTAATGGTTACAATTCTAGTAAAACTTACATGATTGCATGTTTGTCTTCTTCAATAAGACACTGACAGACCCACCAACTCCACACAGTCACAGATTTATCAGTCGTGAGCTCCAGCTCAGAGCCATAACACTAACGCTATCCCCACTGACCTCTTACACAAGTAAAAGACTAACCAGCAGGAGTCGCTAATGCAGCAACTAGGACGTGATCCTTCACCTGCTTCCTGCTGAAAAAACACTGCCAGAGGCAGGGTAATACAGGCCTCCACCGCCGGAGGACTGTAGTAGTGGAATAGAGATTTTATGCATTCTAGATCACAGGTACCATGGAAGTAGAGTATAAAAGCTGCTTTAAATTGAGCCTTTTTGCATTACAAGATAAAAAAAACCCAATGGCCACTGCTAAGATCTGATAAATTAAGTGAACCAGGCTCGGATGTAGGGTGAAGATGAAATGAGGTAGTAATGCTTAAAGTCATCTTTCTTCGATTTCTAATTTTTCATAGCTCAAGGAAATACCAACATTTAGGAGTGGATCCCAAGTCAGCAGTCAACTACACCTGGGTCAAGGTAAGTTACCATTATAGCTCTCTAACCAGGATGCTAATTAATAAAGATGCACCTATTACAATTCCAGCTGATTCTGATTTTTTTTGACAGCATACACAAACATTTCTGTAACTTTTCTTTAATAAAAAATAATTTCTTCCCCATTAGCACCAGCATAAGCATTGACTGTTCTTCCTGGGGTCCATTCAAATTGTATGTTCATGAAATGAAATAGGAAATAAAATAATAAAACATTGACTCTTAAATCATTTTTACATTTTCTCTAAAACTGCAGCAGGTTAGAGGACCAGCTCAACAACTCACTCAAACAAATCTCAAAATAAAAGTGCTCCAGTTTAGGCTTCTGCACAGAACAGTTTTGTACAAATAACATCCAACTGAAAATGAATTGCAGTATAACACGTCTCAGTGTTTCCCACAGAAAGACAGTGTGACAGTCACAGTGACAGTGAAAGCAGACATTACCCTATTTCTAGAAGGTTATTTAATATCTCACCCTTGTAATTATACTTCATTCAACACCTTATCTAAGTGTTTACTCACAAACTACTTTAATCTGCTCACCTTGTGTTTTACTTCAGTCACATGTGCAAACACCTACACCTGTGTCTCTCTGTCTCTCTCCCTGTTATGTGTCTGCTCTGTTGACCTTTTTCGTCAGCAGCTTTATAAAGTTGCCCCAAAAACACAACTCGCATTCTGAAAACACCAACAGGTGTATTCATGGTTTCATTATGTGGTCGATTGTAAAATAACTGTGTCCGCATCTTCTAACATAATACCAGATAATGTCTCTCTATGTGTGTTTCTCTGCAAAGTGCTAAAATGGGTCGCCAAATATTCTTTGGGCAGTCCACCCTAAAGTATGTGGGAAAACACGGCTTATTTTGGCCTTACAGGTATTACAAATTGCAAGCTATAATATCTATCAAGACTAAATGAGTTTGAAAATGTGTATTTGTTTTTGAAAATGTGAAATGTGACATTAAATGATAGTGTGGGTGCTAATATTACCCAAAAGCCTGGCACTGTCCCTCATTAGATCAATTTGTAAAAAATAAAAATATGAGAGGTAGTGAAAAGAAAATATTCATGAAAAGAAAAGACAAGTGGGAGGTAGAGTATGTAGGGATGGCGGGGAGGATGGAGAGGGAACTCACTTTGCCCTGGCTCGTTTCTTTGGAGGCGACAGCCCTGCTCTTAGATGCAGATGACACCTGGGGAAACAAGCCCACCCTGGGTCAATAACAACACCTCATAACAATACACAGGAAGAGGAGGCGGTGCAGGAAGTACAAAGAATTATGTACGAGGGTGATGGATGAAACACAGAAAGAGAAAAAGGTGACTTAGACAGGGGAGAAGTAAGAGAAGAAGTTAGAAGAGTAGCGGGAGAGAGAGAGAAAAAAAGTCAGACATACAAGAAGGAAAGAAGAGCAAGAAAACATGAAGGAAGAGGAGAAAGATGCTTCTAAAAGTAGGAGACAGAGTAGGAAAGAAAAGGTTGGCTACACAAACAGAAGAGGGGGATGATTTGACAAAAGAGAGGGACTTAAAGGATAATTCTGCTTAATTCCAACCTGGGTCTATGAATCCAGTGCCATCACCAAAAAGAAGAGCAACGGGCAAAGCTGGACTATGAATTCAGCAAAACAGGCAACAGCCTCATAATGTCCAAGGTTCAGTGAAAGACATAGGGTTATGGTAATTTGATTAATTACAAATTGTTAGGAAATTGCACCACTTAAGTACAACTAAGAAAGATGGAAGGTGAGGAATGAAGGTGGGGGGTCACCACAGCAAATATTTTCCCTGGAGCTGCAAATTTGTCGATTTAACAGTGTCCACGAGGCAAGAAGCGAGTAGTCAATGAGACAATGGGACAGGTTGTAAACCAGACTTATTTAGCAGACTAAATGAAAGCAAATGGTCAAATTATTACGTAGTTTTAGGAATTTCTCACTTTCATTTAACATTTTATATGTATATGCACAGTATACAGACCCCCAAAAAATATGGAGGGCATGACCTCAGAGTCCTCAATTGTAGCTACAGGCCTCACTTTGGTCAGTACATTACAACCATAACAGAACTAAATAAAAGTTAACAAAATACAAAAATAAGACCCAAGTTTAAATAAACCAAAAACATCCATTGAAGTGCTCCTTTTAAGAAACAGGCTTCCTCTTCCACATGCATGGACAATGAAGTGTTCTAAGAGAATGGGTGAAACGGTAGTAAATGAACATGCAAAGGAGTAAAATATGTAAGAATAAAAGGCATGACTGTCAAAGATAATTAACAAAGCTAAAGACAGTAAGAAAGAAGTATGGCCTGTATTTTATTGTAGCTGGTGGAGTGAATATACTTTATTCAGCATGATGCTAACACACTGATAGCTGGTTTTATTTACACTAATGGATAAAGTGGTATGTATACTTTTTCAAGAGAACAACTTAAGAAATAACTTTGAAGGGTAAATGAGGAACAGAAAGCCAGTCACATGTTAAACAGGTCTTGCAGCTACATTGCTGTGAGAATATTTTTCAATCTTTAAATTAAAGACCACACTCTTGAATAAAAATAGGAAAATAATCCTATACACTGCCTGTTAGTCGAGTGGCAACCTGTGTCAGAAAATACATGAATAAAAAACAAAACACCTGTAGAGGTATGAAAGGTGCAGATAAAGGAGGACCTACCTTCCCTCCTCCAGGCTGGTGCTTCATGTTGTCTGTTGAGCCAATCTTAGAGCGGGCATTACGGATGTCGGGGGGTGGTGCTGTGCCAGGGCGAGCTGTCACCCTGGAGGTGGTGGTGGTGGTGGTGGTTGAGGAAATAGCCCGGGAGGCACGGGGCACCGGGGGCTTCTTCTCTGGTACTGTGCCAGTGGTGGAAGACTGTGTGGCTAGTTTGGCTGCTGTGGTGCGGGTGTGAAGGGCAGCAGTGGTAGAAGCAGTGCTGCGGGTGGTGGTGGTGGTCTTGGGCTTGGTAGAGTCGGCTGGAATGACAGTTGTATAATATTTCGTTAAATTACTAGATATTGATTATTTGAATGAGCTCACTTATGGAGACTGGGATAAAAATTTTATATGCAATTTTGTTTCTGTCTCACTTTGTTTGCAAAGACCAATTTTTTAAAAAGTTTGACATTTTGGGAAACTTGCTTGCTTGTCAAGAGTCACATAAAACAACTTTTTGTTTGTGAACAGATCAAACAAACAAGTTGGTGTTGATAGGCACATTTTGGGAGTTTGGAGAGAGCCAGGTTTCCAGCCTTTATGATATGTTAAGCTAATCAACTCTTGGGTCCTGCTACATACTTAATGCTCAAAATTTGAGGGTGATATCGATCCTCTCATCTAATTCTCTAGATTTAAGTATTTCCCAAAATGCTGACTTTTGAATATTCTTTAAACATATTTAAGATGCATTCTATACATCTCGTCTTCCTGAACACAAAGAGAATAGCATATAGCATATAAAGTCAGTACAAATATGCAAGTGGTCAGAAGACATGAAATGAAGCTAAGGTGCTTCAGTGCTAGTTGATAATGTTACAATTTGAGTCAACCCTGACAGATAAATAATTCAAGTTCCATAAAAGTTGGAAAAACCCAAATGTAAATGTAAGTATCTCTAGTGACCACAACTATATTATATAGCATTTTTTTATAGCTGGCTGAAGAAAACCTCCAGTGTCTTCTTTTCTGTAATATACAGTGGGTACGGAAAGTATTCAGACCCCTTTAAATTTTTCACTCTTTGTTTCATTGCAGCCATTTTCCAAAAATCCAAAAAGTTCATTTTATTTCTCAGTAATGTACACTCAGCACCCCATCTTGACAGAAAAAAACAGAATTGTAGAAATTTTTGCAAATTTATTAAAAAAGAAAAACTGAAATATCACATGGTCATAAGTATTCAGACCCTTTGCCGTGACACTCATATTTAACTCAGGTGCTGTCTATTTCTTCTGATCATCCTTGAGATGGTTCTACGCCTTCATTTGAGTCCAGCTGTGTTTGATTATACTGATTGGACTTGATTAGGAAAGCCACACACCTGTCTATATAAGACCTTACAGCTCACAGTGCATGTCAGAGCAAATGAGAATCACGAGATCAAAGGAACTGCCTGAAGAGCTCAGAGACAGAATTGTGGCAAGGCACAGATCTGGCCAAGGTTACAAAACAAATTCTGCTGCACTTAAGGTTCCTAAGAGCACAGTGGCCTCCATAATCCTCAAATTGAAGACGTTTGGGACGACCAGAACCCTTCCTAGAGCTGGCCGTCCGGCCAAACTGAGCTATCGGGGGAGAAGAGCCTTGGTGAGAGAGGTAAAGAAGAACCCAAAGGTCACTGTGGCTGAGCTCCAGAGATGCAGTCGGGAGAAGGGAGAAGGGAGAAAGTTGTAGTAAGTCAACCATCACTGCAGCAATCCACCAGTCGGGGCTTTATGGCAGAGCGGCCCGACGGAAGCCTCTCCTCAGTGCAAGACACATGAAAGCCCGCATGGAGTTTGCTAAAAAACACCTGAAGGACTCCAAGATGGTGATAAATAAGATCCTCTGGTCTGATGAGACCAAGATAGAACTTTTTGGCCTTAATTCTAAGCGGTATGTGTGGAGAAAACCAGGCACTGCTCATCACCTGCCCAATACAGTCTCAACAGTGAAGCATGGTGGTGGCAGCATCATGCTGTGGGGGTGTTTTTCAGCTGCAGGGACAGGACGACTGGTTGCAATCGAGGGAAAGATGAATGCGGCCAAGTACAGGGATATCCTGGACGAAAACCTTTTCCAGAGTGCTCTGGACCTCAGACTGGGCCGAAGGTTTACCTTCCAACAAGACAATGACCCTAAGCACACCGCTAAAATAACGAAGGAGTGGCTTCACAACAACTCCGTGGCTGTTCTTGAATGGCCCAGCCAGAGCCCTGACTTAAACCCAATTGAGCATCTCTGGAGAGACCTGAAAATGGCTGTCCACCAACGTTTACCATCCAACCTGACAGAACTGGAGAGGATCTGCAAGGAGGAATGGCAGAGGATACCCAAATCCAGATGTGAAAAACTTGTTGCTTCTTTCCCAAAACGACTCATGGCTGTACTAGCTCAAAAGGGTGCTTCTACTAAATACTGAGCAAAGGGTCTGAATACTTATGACCATGTGATATTTCAGTTTTTCTTTTTTAATAAATTTGCAAAAATTTCTACATTTCTGTTTTTTTTCTGTCAAGATGGGGTGCTGAGTGTACATTACTGAGAAATAAAATGAACTTTTTTGATTTTTGGAAAATGGCTGCAATGAAACAAAGAGTGAAAAATTTAAAGGGGTCTGAACACTTTCTGTACCCACTGTATAGTCAGTTTGAATAAGTGAAAGGTTTTAACTTATCAAAGCAAAGAAAACCCTAACCAATGAAGGTAATGAACCAACGTGCCTGCAGCAAAATGAACAACCAAATGTCCATGAATTGCTTATGTAAATTATATGACCTGTGTCGCTTGTTTTGTACATAGTCACAAACATAATAAAATGGAAGGTGAAAATCACAATTTTAAGGTTGTGAAAGACCATTTATTTTGAAAGCCTGGGGGTCACTCATAAAGTAATTCCTTAAAAGCAAATTCTGTTGAACCATACCCTTCCACTTTTCTCTCCTTCTGGTTTGGCTGAATACATTTCAGCATCCTTCAGTTCAGCACTGCAGCATATGCACCAATTAAAATCTGTCAATTCACAATTGTGTCAGCTTTTTCTTCAAAGCACAGTGATCTGTTGTCAATCCTGCCTGAAAGTCTTTGGTATATCACATGTTCCTGTTAAGACATGTTAAATTGAGCAATTGCTTCCATGTTTCTAAAGAGTAATTTGACTTGCCGTATGGACCTTGGCAGATTAGACAACCCGAGGCTGTATCAGCAGGAGCTGCAAACTCCTGTCAACAGCAATGGGACAGTAATCCACAGACCGCTGTGGTGATGATTTTTAACTCTCCAGGGCCTTTCAGCAATAAAGCATCTTTCTCTCTATAAGCCTGCCCAGCATTGTAATGGTTGGACAGCGTTGCGCTCCTGCTGACAGCTCTCCTGTTGCCAAAATGTTCACTAATCTGTCAAGGAGGACTGAAGCTGTAGAAAGAGAGAGGGGTGAAGCAAAACTTAGAAAAGGATTACAGAAGAGGAGAGTGAAGAACAGAAATATATGCAGAGGAAAAGCAAAGTGAGAGGGAGAGCACTGCAAGGTCAAACAGTAGTTGTAAATAATGGCACCAGTTGGTTAGTTAGAGTTGTCGACAATGTGTGTTGACAAACACACAATATTATCTGATATCCATTTTTGGTAGTATTGTATACTATATATAGTTGTTGAATGATATAACTATATGATCACATTTAAACATACATTTACACAACCAGTTTTTCCAAATGAATATTTCCGAGCCTAGTGTAATTAAAATCCATGACATTTTACACCATTAAGGACTTTGGTCTGACATAAATGAATAAGCACATTTCATTAGATAATTATTATACATTATTTAACATTCAACATTCTGCATAGATTTTCCATATTGTACCGTATCCTTATATCCTTATTAATATTTTGAAACGGATGTCAACTTTATTGCCTAGCACTGTTGTATATTCGATGCTGACTTCAAATTTGGAACCTGTAAGTTTGGCATTTTTATGTAGCTTTAAGGTTTATTTTGCATATTAGCCCGCGGCCAATGTGGTTAGCATCTATTGTACACATTATGGAGCAATATTGGAGTATTTAATACTGAGCGACAGGCAAGACAAAGTATGTGAACTTTAAGCTTCATGTAAAAGCCAATTAAATAACCAGAGTAGTAAGTTGTATGTGGTATTTTACTTTTACCTCACATGCCTGATCAGCTGTTTCAGCTGTCCGTGTCTTCTCAGATATTCCAATAAGGAGCGGTACCATGGCTGGTAGCAACTCGCCCACTTGTAACACATTTCAGAAGACCTCTCTCCATTTTTCTCAGGTCCATGGTCTTTAGGTCCATGTGAATCCAAACCAGATGATGAAAACGTGCCTAATCCTATTTTTTTCTCGTTTTTGTGACATTTTAAAGGTTTGCTTAAAATTTTCTTGACTTAATAGATGCGGAAGAACTGGGTATTGGGCTATAGATTGTAAGGTCAGGAAGGATTTTCACACATAGTACATATATCACCTGTCGAATCAGACGAATCAGAGAAACATGCCGCCATAGCCAGATTTTTTTCACTCCAGGTCTGAACCATAGAGAAATCATAACAAATACATAGTATGTTATTTTTTCTAGAGTTGGTAGATGGGCTTGTATTGAAGCCTATATCAGGGAGATAGCAAATCTTATTACATGAGCAATAATTAGCTGATTTGTGTAATTTGCTATAATATAATAATTGCTATAATTATCTCTATTTCTGATGGCATATTTGGAGCTTCCGGATGAATTAATGATTCAAACTGCTTGATTGTTGCATATTAAAGTGTACTTTTGACCAGTTGAGTTGATTTATAGTCATGTGGTCAGGATTGAGTGATACACAAATGTTGGCTTGCTTTTCCTGTTTTTTTAATTATTCTCACCAATTTTAACCTTGAGATCAGAAGCTCACATTGCAGGCTGTCTAAACTGATGATACTGCCATAAGTATCTGATGTTATTAAAGAAAGTGTTAAAAAGATTATTATTATTATGGTCATGCAAACCTTGAACCCAGAAACTAATGACATTTCCCCTGATCAAAATCAAACCCTACTTACCTTTCCTCATAATAATATGTAATCATTCAGATGATGATTCAGATTTAATTAGTGAAGGTTATCGCCTAATTAAGTTGGATCGGAAAACCTTAGTTATATTGATAAATGAAATGAAGGGGATGTGGTTACATGACCTAATTAGTAATTACAGTTACAGTTAATTGTGGTGCCTATACATATTATATTACATTTAATTTTGAAGTTTCAGTCTATTTACATTTATCAGTTGGATTTGTTTTCTATTTTGATTGATATGAATAAAAGGTTACCATAATCTAATGTATGTAATAAAGCTCTAAAGTCGACATTTTTTGGGTCTGTATTCAGGTTTTAAAATGTCACAGGACTGTAATAAGCACGGCTAACCGACAGGCTGGGTTACATGCCTGTCTACTCATTGTGCATGAAAATGTGTTTTGGGAGAGTGGCTTTGGAGGGAGGACTAAAAGGAGGGGGTGGGAATTGTCTTTTGTACCGTTGAAGTGAGTTAACTAATGATTCATTACTAATGGACTGCTATAATCAAGTTTAATAAGTATGTTTACCTTGCAATTGAAATGATTTAATGTATGCTTGTACGACAGATCCAAAATGGCAAATGTTTTCTTCTTTTGCCATTTAGAGGTTTTCCCTTTTGCGCTGTCTGTTTGGTGTAGTTAGTCGCTTTAGGTGATTTCGTTCCATTTCTTGTCCCGTGGAAGTGGGATTTTGAGGCCATTGTGTGTAGGTGCATGTGACCAATGACCTCCGTCAGAGATCTTTAACCACTTAAGAGTATTTTTCATAGAGAGGCCTTTGTTTGGCCGTAAAATGCAGAACTCATAGGACTGTGGCAGAAGTTTATGGAAATGAAGGCATGTTTCATTTGTGCATGGACATGGTAATTTGACCTACACCCTCACTGTCCTTCACACTTGACCATAGGCGGAAATCGTGGGGAGGGGTGGGGGGTTGTCTCCCCCTAAAAAAAAAAAAATCATTAAATAAGATAATTATATATTTAAAATAATTGTGTAAGCAGTAAAACAATACAAACTCTAATGGGGCAATAAAAGTGCGTTTTAAGTTTAGAAACATTCTGAATCCACCCTCCCTCGCCTCACAGTGGTTTGGTCCACTGCCTGCTTTCCCTCTTTATTAGTCATAACAATAAATTAATCATGACCAAAAATATGATAACCAATTTATTTTTCCATGAGTCTGCTATGTTATCTATTTTAATATTAGCGTACCTAGCTTGTTTAGTATATTTTCTAAAAGCTTGTTGGATAGTAAGTCACCCACTATAGTAGAGATGCGCTGATTGATCACATGGAGACTAAAATAGGCCAGTTTTCAGCTTAACTGGCCATGACTACCAACCGGGGCTAAGCAGCGTCAAATATCCAATTTTCTGCCGGTCACAGTGAATGATACACACACTGCGCTGCACGGTATTTTGCGTCATGTGCACAGCGGCATAAAATGTAACCACCTATTGTCACAGCCACATACAAACACTAAAACATGTCATAGGTGTGAAAGTTCTTCACTGGAGTGAAGAAGACATAATGCTCACTATTTACACCTGCAGAGAAACACACAGAAAGAGACGCGTTCTTGTATTAAGTTCGAAGACAACGATGGATATTTTAAAGCATGGAGCAGGTAAAGCAACAGTGAACACAGCTGTTGGTGATGATGTCATTCATACCACCGTCTCTATCGGTAATTAACAACAAGCCTCCTCCACACACGACTCACCTGCTGCTGTGAGAACAGAATCGCGGGTGAAAAGTACAAAATACGAATCTGCTAACAAATAGAGTCAGAGCAGACAGATACAGAGAGAGAGAGAGAGACAGGTGTAGGTCTGTGCTTGTGTGTCTGAAGGGAAAAGCAAGGTGAGCAGATTGCTGTAGTTTGTGAGTAAACACTAAAATAAGGTGGTGGAGAACTAAAATTGTGAGATTAGAAATAAAATAGCCTACTAGAAACAGTGTAATGTAGTCTTTCAAATATTTTCAATTAAGATATAGGCTATTTAAAAATGTCCGAATTTTTTTAGTTGGATTTTATTTGTAGCTACAAAACAGCTCCCTCCAGTTTTAATGCGCATGTTATCTAATAATCAATTTTTTATTATGACCATACAACTGAATGTACCCCAGTGAGAATAGCCAACGTTTATGCTGATGAGGATCCTAATAAAAAATAATTTAATTGAAAACCTACATTTAGCCTCTTTAAGTTTTTGGTGTCTGACTGTGTCCATGCATACATGCTGTGCAAAGTTCTTTTCTGATGTCAGATTTGTCTTGTAATATACTGTATATTCAAGTAATGACGAGCTCAGATTTTATTTTTCTGTTCATCAAACTGAAGATTGATTAGTGTCACATGACACATCTTTTGTTTCCAATTAAATTTTCATTTGGCTGTTTTTCTTAGCTTCTTCTGCATATTTGACAAACTACAGGCCAAGGCTGAGCATCTCCTGTTTCTGTATGAATGTGAAGGGAGTGTTGTAATACCTGTAAAAGTCTTCAGAGCGGCAGGCTTCTTATCCTCTCCTGGTTTGCTGTCTGTCTTTGAGGCTGAAACACAGATGGTGTGTAATAATATGGTAAGTACGCAATAATTTCTATAATCTATCAAAAAATAAACAGAATGCACTTATTTTAGTATCGAAGACTGTGCCACTTCAAAACTCCTCCTCAAAAAAAACGATTAAAAATGTGTTTATATACAACACATCTGTGTGTGACCATGTCAGCCATACCCAGAGGCCTTTTGGCTGCAGAGGTACTAGTGGTGCGGGTAGACGGCATTGCACGCACTGATGTAGCGGTTTTACTGGCTGCTGTGATAGCGGTTCCATTTTTGGTGGCAGCAGAGGAGCCTGCTTGTTTTGAGATGGCAGTGCTGGCCTTTGGCACAAGGGGGCACTTCTCTGTGGTCGTCTGAGGAGAAGGAGAAAAAATAAAAAACATGGGAAACGTCAGATGAGGAACAAAAAAAAAAGGCGATGAAGGCAAACCTTGTCAGCAGCAGTAAATGCCACATATCAATAGAACACCATCAGCAAATTAGAATTAGATACCTGATCATTCAACAACATATCCTCCACCACATAAACCCTAGGATGATGCCATGCTCCACATACAGCTGAGCCATCCTTTAACAGCACACTGAACTGAGTCACCCTGCACCCCTGGGCACTGAGAGGCTAAAAAAAGGCTGTTAATTTATCGGTTGTGGTGCAACATTGGCTGTAGTTAAAGTTAATATGCTTTGGCATCATTATAGTGTGTGCGGTTATGTCAATAAAGCCACTTAAATTGATAATTAACAGTGATGAAGCAACTCTCTTTCTACATGAATCTGGAGCAACTGTAGTGACGGAGGAGGCTACAGCAACTGACAGTGACTGCAATAATGTTTGTGTAGTTAGGCTCAACGCCAGAAGGTGTAATTAGTTTCAACTGGTTAACCACTTGTAAAGGATGCTTTATTAGAAAGCGTTTTCCATTTCTGTATGAGCTGAGTATGTCAGCACATTATAAACAATAAAATAGCAATAGCAACTTCTGTGGATGCGTTAAAGAGAATGCACTACATGTTTCTGAGGTTGGACTTGATGTGCAGCTGGAAGATTTATCAGTTACAATACAATACTATGAGTTTGTGAGTTCCAAATTAATAAGATAAAGAATTATACAAATGAAACATTTGGTCAGTCTTGATCCAAACCCACAAAGTTAAATGTCCATGTGCAGTTTGATAAAATTCAACCTTATCTCCTCTGTTTGGGGCTGAGAGGGAATCTCAACAGCACTTGAAGGAGACCTACAGTATTTAGTCTGTTTATTATACTGCTTGTGAGCATCCAGCATCCTGGGGTGTTGACGAAATCCCTTATGGATCTGCAGCTTTTGACAGACGTCCTGACAGGTAAAACTTACCTTGGGTTTGACATCACGTGTAGTGATGGTGTTTGAGGAGGCAGGGTGACCGCTAGAACTGGTGGAGGACCGCTTTGGACCAGCAGCGGCTGTGGATGGTGCCCTGGCTGTGGTTGTTTTTTTGTCTGAGATGGAGGTGGTGGTGGAGGGTGTGGGGCGCTTAGTAAGGCCTGTGACTGAACCACCAGCAGAAGAGGAACTCGGCCGCATTTTGGACACAGCACTTGGTTTGTTTGACCCAGCATTAGCCTGTGACGCAGGGCCGAGACATACAGGAGCAATGGAGGGCAAAATAAGGAGGGAGAGCAAAGGAAAAAATAAGGAAAATGGATGATAATGGAAGAGATGGTGACGCAGTACATGCAGGATTATGGTAAATGGAAAATGAACTGTACTTGTATAGGTCATCCGACCACTCAAAGCGCTTTACACAACATGCCACATTCACTCCATTTACACACATTCATACACTGATGGCTACCATGCAAGGAGCCAACTACTCATCAGAAGGAGACTAACAGCTGGATTCCACTGAGCATGGCTGCGTTGCGTTCCAGCTGTGACTCGGTTTTGTTCCGTCTTGTGCGCAGCTTTACTGATGACTGTTGACTGATTTTTCCTTTTTGTGCTTCTACTAGCGGGCAAGGCTCTCTGTGACCCAGCTTTGTTCCATCCTCTGCATGGCTTCATACCTCACCGTGAGCATTTCAGAAGCACGTAAAGCTGCAGAGAGCAGATCCTAACCTTACCCCTAACCCATGGTAGAACCACAAACATCAAGGACAAATGACCAAATCAACAAAAGTCAGCAAAATCAGACAGGCAAAATGCTCTGCTTCTGAAATGTTTCCTGCGGGGGTATGAAGCGGTGCAGAGGACGGAACAAAACCGTGTTGCAGAGAGCTGTGCCCAGTAGTAGAAGCACAAAAAGGAAAAGTCAATGAATGCTTTTGGTGGAATATGAAGCTAAGCAGACCATGTTGTAGCTGGAACATAATGCATCCATGCCCAGTGGAATCCAGCTGTAACATTGACACATATAATAACAAATATTGAACAGCATTCACAAACAATTAGGGGTTCCGTCTCTTGCCCAAGGAAACTTTAACATGCGGGCTGGGGAAAAGGGATCAAACAGACAATCTTTCTAATTACTGTGCGACCCCCCCTACCTCTAAACCACAGCTGCCCCTTTTTTATCATAAAATATTTAGATTTATATTATTTATTGTAATCATAAATGGTCTGATAAAAATGTAACATGTCGCACAACTCTTCTCCAGTATATCATGCCTCATCAGGGTGGGATCTGACATTGTTTCCACATTCTTTTTCTACAGTCCATCAATCAGTCATGTGACTTCATGAGAGAAAATTACCATAAATGCAAGAAAACATGACATAATAATAATCTTTTTAAACACATACAGACAAAATTAAATATTGTTTTTTTATGACCAGGGTGCAAAAACAAAGTATTAGGACTAAAACAAAAAGCAGAATGTGTGGACACATCAAAACTAGTGCTGGGCAACAATAAAAAATTTTAATCTTGATTAATCGCATGATTTTCTGCAATTAATCACGATTAATCGCATTGTTATGTCACGGTTGTGCTCGCCTCACTCACACGCCCGCCCGCCGCCGTAGTTGAATTGTCTTGAACTTTTTGTATGCGACGCAAAGCACAAATCATTGGAAGAGAGACTGATCCTCGCTGTTTGTGAGTTTCCAGAATTTATTGCTTTTTACCAAATAGGACATCAACAGGAGGGAATTCGCATTGCAGAGCATCCCCGCAAATCTAGGTGTAGGCCTATCAGGTAAAGTAATGTAGCCTATAATTTTAATTTAAGTAAAATAGGCTACAGCTGTGTAGCGCACAGAAGCCGTTGCCATGGTTACTATCCATAGAGCGCCTGCTGTTTACTCACGGAGCGCTGTCTTACTTCTCCCACACGCTGCATCCAGCGTAGTCTGCCAAAGCCTGCTTGTTTAGGTGGGTGATTTGCAGGCTGATCAACATCCTGCCCCAACTGTGACCCATGGTTTGACTGTATGTGTAGAGCCAGTGAGCAACTGACTTTCAAAATAATAATAAAAACTGTGTTATTGTGAGATTATAACCCAGCCCTAATCAAAACCTAATTGCAAAATTTGGTTTGAGTTTGATCAAATAAAGTGCAAACAGTAGGGTAATGTAGGCTTTGGAGTCGCATAGCTGAGCAGTGTTAAGGAAAGCAAGGTAATAAGTAAATACTTATGCTTTTGAGAAAAGGTACAAAAGGCAATTTTCAACTAAATTTAGACATTAAAACTCCTCCTACCACACATGAGTCTGTGATGTAATGTCTTAAAGTATAAGACAGGGTTATAGGTTTTAGGGTTATTGGTTTTAGTCAATATTATAATAAAGAAATAGTCTGACCCATGTTTTCAGTATAGTTCATGTGGATCCTATCAGCACTGAGTTAGAAACATCACATACTTATACAATAAATCCTACCTTGGCCTTCTTCTCTGCACTTGCCAGGTCTCTGCTTGGAGTGGCCCTGCTTCCGTTAGTTACAGGTTTAGATTTTTTGGCCTTGTCTTCGTCTGCTTTTGCAGCATTCTCCTTCTTGCCATCCTTTTTCTCCACAACCTTTTTGTTGGCCTGCATTTTATCCTGCTTCTCTTCCTTTTCACTCTTCTGCGTCTGTTTTTTCCCTGGCTTCTCAGATGTCTTCTCCACCTCATCCTCTTTCTCCGTCTTCTTTGCTTCGTCTGTGTCTGCTGTCTCTTTTTCAGTTTCTTTCATCTCTGCTGTCATCTTTGTCTCTATGTCAGCCTTCTTTTCCAGCTCATAACTGGTATCGAGCTTGTCGTGTGTCGGATGTTGCTCGGGGGTCTTTTCCACTTTGTCCATGTGCTGCTCTTTGCCATTCTTCATCTCTGTTTTCTCAAGCTTCTCAGGGTTTTTGTTTGTTTTTTCTTCAATGTTGTCCACTTTCTCCACATTCTCTGTTTTCACCACTTTGCTTTCTAGTGTTTCTTTAACCTCCACTTTTTCCACTTTCTCTGTTTTGTCCACCTTATCCGTCTTTGCCAATATATCTGGTGATTCTTTTACCTGCACCGACTCCACTTTGTCTGTCTCTTGCTCTTTGTCTTTCCCCTTTTCTGTCTCCCTTTTTTCTTCCACTTTTTCTGTCTGTTTCTCTGTCACCTTCACTTTCTCTGTCTCTTGCTCTTTGTCTTTCCCCTTTTCTGTCTCCCTTTCTTCTTCCACTTTTTCTGTCTGTTTCTCTGTCACCTTCACTTTCTCTGTCTCTTGCTCTTTATCTTTCCCCTTTTCTGTCTCCCTTTCTTCTTCCACTTTTTCTGTCTGTTTCTCTGTCACCTTCACTTTCTCTGTCTCTTTCTCCTCTTTAACCTTTGCTGCCTCTTTCTCCTTCTCTTTTACCATTTCTGTCTCTTTGTCCTTCTCCTTTAGTGTCTCTTTCTGTTTTTCCTTCTCCGTTCCTATCTCCATCTTGGCTGAAGTCTCACTGCTAGTGAATTCAACCATCACAGTCTTCTGCTGAAAATTGTCTAAAGGGTCAAACAGGTCCACCTTCTTTACGTTGTCCTCCAGCTTCTCCTCCTTCTTCTCTGGCTTCACCATGGTGTTTGATTTTACTGGGAAAAAAAATGATTTTAATTAGAAATCACGCCAGTATATTATAAATAATACCAGCAGATAGAAACTCATCCTTGACTTGAATCACATTGACCAACACTAATTTCTAATATAAATATCTCATTTACATTTTACTTATTTGGCAGAGATATCTCAGGTAAACACTCAGTTCACAGCCACATATAAAAGAACAGGCCCCAGGGCTCAGATGCATGAAATGCCTCCATGCGCCTTTCAGTTCTGCATCTTTTTCAGGAACAATATGCAGGTTAACCATCACTGTAAAATGCTGCTGTTGAAAACTGTACCTGAGCTTCAGTATTTTGCTTTCACACTGGAGGAAAAGAGATGCTGTCTTCTTTCTTGAAGAGTGCAATTCAAAATATTACAGAAAATTAAAGTAAGCAGATTATATTTTCTACTTAGCACTCAAACAGATTTAAATTGCTTTACTAATTTTTATGTCAGCTCATTACACAGTGCCCGAGTATGCACTGTGTAACAGAGCCCGACCGATTTATCGGCCGGCCGATATGAGCTAACTGCATTTAATCGGCATCGGCCGTTTATAACAGCAGATATATGACTAATAAAAAAGAAACATAGATTCAGATACTTCACTCATGTCATGGGTGTTGTATAGTTTGCCCATCAGAAGGCGCGCTGCAGCTGTTAACTACACTGCCTCACCACAAAAAACCACAGAAGAAAACAATAAGCTGACCGCAGTCTACCGGTGCTAGCCTGCCACATGTAGAAACACGCAGAGGGCTGTGTTAGCGGTGAGTCAGTCTTTTGTCACATTAATTACATGACTTAAATAATTATAATAAAGACATCCACAATTCCTTCTCCTCGCACAAAAACATTCATGACTTGCTAACCCTCCCGTTTTTCACTGCACTTTCCCGGCTTCTTCCCAGCTCACAGCAGTTTAATGTTACGGTAGTGTTTAAAGCTACACTGCTGACTAACGTGGTTGTACATTTATTTTTGAAAAAGTGTATCAGTTCGAGCGAACGGTCCTCCTTTGTTCATCACTTCTAAATATTCTCTAAAATTCACGTAACATTACAGCAGCTAACGCTGCCCGTTGCTAAATTAGCCACAAAGCTAATGGCGTGTTTGTCAGTGGAGGAGCGCTAACGTTGATGAGCCGCTAAACTATAGTTTCTGACTTATTCTAAATATATCTGCCAGCCACCTCTCTGCAGTTAGTCGGCCTGTCTGAAATGATTAAACCAGAGCAGACATGTAAATAACACTGCTTTCTGTAGCTCCTCTTTTTGTGACGTAGATGTGAAATGCTGTCAGAGCGGTGTTGGTTATATTTATAACGTTAGTTAAATGAAATTTCAAAGCTGCAAGTCCTTGTTGTAGAGAGTCATTTAATATTAGATGCATTCAGCAGCAGGTCACTGTATCGTAGACGGCATGATTTAGACAGAATGGTGGTTAAGAAATGGTTTCACGTAGCTATGGTTAGAATTAAAGTGTGCTGGTAAAGGGATAAACTAGATGTGAATATGCTACATTGAAATTATGGCAGATTATGTGTAAAGTGAAATACACATGCTTATTCTCTCTCACTGAAAAAGTTGCACCTTCCAGCAGCAAATAGTTATTGATGTGCAATTGTTTACATGATCACTTTTGAGACATACATAACATAAACAACATAAATCATTTAGGAAAAGGTTTTATAGCCCAAATACATACCAGCTTTCAATATCGGCCTGTTCGTAGTGTAGTTTATACAGTAAAGGGGTCTACTCTCAAAATCGAAATATCAGCTCATAAATCGGCTCCTTTTCACTTTTATATCAGCATAGGCCCCCAAAAACCCATATCGGTCGGGCTCTACTGTATAACTGTAATATGTAGGAAAACACAGCAAAAATATAACAGTCACTATTTGCATAATGAAAAGGGTAAGGTCATATCTAACCAAGCTCACCCTGCTAACTACTTGTGCCCTCTGGGAAGCGAGAAAATAAATAAAGAAAATACTGAAAATTAAAACAAAATGGCTTCAAGAAAAGCTTTTCTGCTTCTGCAATAAAGATGTGTACTCTGATCATGTGGCCACTAAAGGTTCATTGTGTAAGATCTGGGCAGACTTTTAGTAAAAACATTATCAACAGAAAGTGGAGAAGTCAGTGGACAGACCACAGAATTGGCTACAACCTTGACCCACTGGTTGCTATCACTAAGTTTCACTGAACCATGGTCGCTACAACGGACCAGTTGTCACTCGTTGCTGCCACTAGGGGCGCTGATGTCAATGATCCGGATCAGATAGTGTGTGGTCCGTGGAGTGGTCATTGTGGTCCTCAGGCTGTGTTGGCAACGCAGTTAGCCAAATAAATGTCGGAGATTACAGTCCTTTGTCTATTAAATATAATATATTATTGATTATGACTATATTCTTGTAGTTGCACTATATATTGTAGTTTGTGTGGTTATACCTAGAGTAATAAATCTATCTGTTTATGGTCCTTGTGGTCCGGACCAGTTGTGCTGTGGTTCGTTGTGTGGTCCTAAACCTCTGTCTTATTTTCCCTTCTCCCCTCTGGCTGTGTGGTGCAGTTTTGTTAGCTATTAATGCATAGTTTATGTTGATGGGAAATAGCTAAACATGCTAAGTAATAATATATTACTATATTATACTATATTACATAATATTTTGCCTGTAAATTAGATTCTGTTGTTGATTAGGCCTAAATTGTGTTGGTACTATATTTTGAAGTTTGTGTGACAGATAGACAGACAGATAGATAGAATAAAAAAAAAAGAGTAATTGGTTGAAATAAACCATTACCAAATCTCCCAAAATAACTTTACACTCTTCTTTGGAAATTAAACTACTTATAAACACATCACTAAAAAAGTAACTTTTATAGAGTTCAAATTTCCTTTTTTCATATTTACACAGCTAACTTGCTATAGCAGACCTGAATGAACGCTAAATTTGGCTGGGGACGTGGCAGCAGCCGATGTCTCTGGGGAGCCAATGGAGAGCTCTGCTCTGCTGGCGCAGCCTCTGGCCTTGCTGCCCAACTGTCCAGGTGGACCCACGGCAGGACTACGGTAGTGTGTGGCGGCCTGACGTTCTACTGTACTTTGCTCACCTGGATCCCGGTAATGGGCTGAGTGCTGCGCGGCATGGATGATGTTGCCAGGATTATTTGAGTGCTTATGTTAACTGGCCACCGGCTCGAGATCAGGTATCTGCTGTAGTAGTGGGCAGGTCCTGACAACTAGCTTCAACACTCCTATTAGTCCTATTAGCAACCAGTGAGTTAGCGACTCAACCAGTGAGTTAGCGACTCAACCAGTGAGTTAGTGACTATGATCAGTGGACAGACCACTGAATTGGCAACAAATTGATCTCTTCCAAGTGAGAATGCTAGTTGGAAAGCTGGAGAAGTTGGAAATAGGAGAATATACAAATAAATATATACAAATAAAATCAGTTTCTGAAATATATGTCAAGACAAACTGTGCCTGAAACCTGAAATCAATGCAAAGATGAAAAAATGTCTTATTGGTATCAGTTATACACCTGCTGAGACATTCCTGAACAAGAAGCGAGAAAGTCGCATGACGCTGAGTCGCGATAGCCTATCAGTGATTGAGATTGTCCGTAGGTCACCGACGGCTTCAGAGCGATGTGTGGAGAGGGTCGGGCAGAGCAGGGGATTGAAAATCTGCTAGCCGGTTTATCTTCACTGGAGCTTCTCAGAAGCTAGTTTCCGTGCACATCCGGTTCCACTGTTGTTGTTAGCGTTGTTAGCTCTGTCGGACTACAACTTCACATTTCTATAAAAAACGGACAAAACTGGACGTTACTTGGAGAAAAGAAAGCGAGGAAGTTGAACTACCTGGTGAGTTCAGAAAACATGTGTCTGTAACTTTATTCCAGCTATCATTGTACTTAACTTTGACCAAGTTAGCACAGAATAGCCCTGATCGATCCAAACTCCATTCAGAAAACAAACATTTTAGAAGTTGTTGTCCTGCTGTCTTGCTGACAGACCTGACAAAGCATGAATTAATATGTTTAACAAATCTGCATCATGTTGTAGTTATTTCGGCATCAGTTTAATCCGTTTATTGCTATTTAATCACAGCAAAATGTTTACTTTGGGTTCATACAGCTATAGTAATGGCAAGTTAAAAGAGTTAAAATCGCCTTCTCGCGTTGTGTGTGAACACTTGCAGCGAATGTACTCACGCGAGGAAAGCGTTGTGAGGAGAAAATTTGCGTTTGGTCTAAATGCGGCATAAGAGCTGGATACTCTTATGTCCACATTTTTTAAATGAATACGACATAACAGATTCAATCAGACCAAAGCATTGCATCCTGTACAAGCCGCAATCCATTGTCCAAGTCCAACAGACCACTGGAATTATCATTTAAATGCTGATGTCGTTTATTGCCCTTTTGTGTACTGAAACCCTGAAAGTATCACTGCTGATCAACTGGCTATTTAGCTTTTCCTTTCAGCTTTTATAGCCTCTGCTTTCTCTTCCATACTTCATTTCCTAATGTACCAGTCAAGTGCTAGGTATTTCATTGGCAGATCAACGCTTTACCAGTTCTTGACCTGACAACGCAATGTGCACAAAAAAAGTTAACTTTACAGAAAACAGATCAAGATCACTTCTGTGGCTTTACAGGTTCCCTGTTGATTTTGACTGACAAATCAGAAAAAAGAATCACATTATTGAGAATCAGTAAAATGATAATAATAGAAAGAGCATAGGCAGGGAGAGGGGATTGGCCTTTGATTCCTATGCTTGAGTGTAAGCCAAAATGCAAGGGACTGAAAGCGATAGAGGACAATATATGAAAGAAAAGAGGAAATGGGAAGTCAAGGGAATCGGGTGTAAGGCTTTGAGTAGAATGACATGACATTGGTAGCTTGCATAACATGCAGCAACCCAAGACCTGGAACAGTCATCAGACCGAACAGAGTGAACACAAATAGGTGAC